TATTACTTTCCCCTCGATAACGGGAATTTTCGGCAGTATCGCGCGTCGCTATCCCAGCAGTGCAACTAGACGTTTGTGGTCTGCTGGTTGTCTGCATGCCTCCGCACACCGAGCAGGTTCAACAATCTGGCTTTGGGAAGTCATAAAGTCAGGGGCACGGCACAAAGGACCCGCTGCTCAGCTCCCTGGCCCGCCAGTCAGCGTGTCTGTCTTCACCTTTTGGGCCGTGCCAGGGGAAGCGTGCCGACGGACATGGCGATGGAGGGTGTTCAGTAGTTAGAGAGGACGAAACTTGAAACGGAAAATAGAAGCACTGTGTTCCAGCCAAGCGAGATGTCCCGTTGTGAGCAGACGGGGTATCTCCGGCGGCCGACCTGCTTGTTCGGGTGCCGTGGCTTCTGCAAAGCGGGCGCTGCGTAACAAGCACCTGTAGCCAGATGTTTAGGTCCCGAGCCTGCAGCATGCCCGTGCACCCCAGGATTGCTCCAGGCCCTTGGCACCACTCCTGTCCCTGTGCGCCTTCATGACCTCAGAAAAATCCTCCAAAGTACTGAGGTGCGGAGCCGCGGACGAACGACACGCCGAGACGGGTTCAGTGTGGGGGATAGAGCATCAATCAACGTGTGTGTTTATTGGTCCAGGGTACATATATTTATCCAGACAATGATAATTATTATGCCTACTAGTCACTAGCTGATTGGCTTAAGCTCTAAAGGTCGTATTCGCACGGTCCACCTACTTGCAGTTAGCTCACAGCACAAGCTTCTCATAACACTAAGTTTCTCATGCTACTATTTCTGATTCCTGTTGACTTGTTTTCAATACACGACAGTACCGTAACACAATGTTTCTCAGACCACCGTTACCATAACACTGGGTTTCTCAGACCACTATTCCTAATTCCCCTTAACCTGTTTTCGACACACCACGGTACACAGGGCTGGAGCGTCCTTGCCATTCCTCCTGTATCAGCAGCTGCGAGCAGCTGCAGGCAAACCCTAGTGAGGCTCAGCATCAGCAGCCAGAGCAGGCTCTGATCATACAGCTGCTCGGGGGGCTCAGGACCCTCGTCTCTGAGCCATTCTCCAACACTGAGGGTTTGCGAAGGCAATGCCATAGGTAACATCGCTTTTGTAGGAGGCGAGGGGTGAGCATGACGAAGCTTTTGCTAATCAGGGAAATACAAATTCGAGGGAGCTGGGAAAGCAGCGTCTGCTGGAGCTTGTCCTGAACTGAAAAACGCCAGTTGCATTGTTGGTGTCAAAAACCAGCTTGAAGTGGACTAGAAACACACATCGCATATGTAGCAGCTTTCTCCTGTTTGTTTTCCCAAATACCTCACAGCTTCTTCAAAATAAGCATTCGGTGGGGAGCCTCCTTAGGTGACGCTAACGAGTCAGGTGTTGTAGCGGTGGGATGGCAGGGGTGTGGGATGCAGCTCCAGGCTGTGTGAACAGCTTTGGTAGCAAAGGTGTGAACGCCTGCCTCTGCCCTCCTCCGAGTGCACCGGGCCTGGGTCCTCGGGGCTGGCACGGGGTGTCCCCAGGATCCGGGCTCTTCTGCCACTCACGGCACGTGGCCACGGCTGCCGTGGACGCTGAGGGTCCTGATAAATTGTTCCCGGGCTTGGTTGGTCGGTCCTGGCGGTGGTGGATGCCCTGGTCTCACTCGGGTTCATTCCCCTTCATCCCCCCCCCACTTCCACAGCGCGTGGGTAAGGAGTTGCAGGCAACGCGCAAACTTCCCTCCAGGTCTTTAAAAGCCCGAATCGAGGCGGGATTCCTCACACCGGCGTAAAGGAGAGGATGGTTTAGCCTCGAGAGAAAGGAAGGAGCCATTTTCTCATTTTCTGCGCAAAACTCAGCCGCTCAGCCCAGACATAACTCCGGGCGACGCCTGATGCAGGTGGCTATCACAGCCAGCTTTTCACCCCTGCGAGAGCACCGGGGTTAACAGCTTCCCAGCCGTGCTCACTCCAGGACACGTCCACAAGATGGGGCCCCTCTCCTTGATTGTCACGAAGAAGATTTTTAGGGGGTCTGGCTCTAATTACAATAATCAACACTCTGAATGGACCCTGCGAAATCCCGCAGTAGATGTACCCTACTGTGAGAGGAAGCCTGGCCTCCTACCAAGCGGGAAGCCGTGGCGAGCAGAGCTGCTGGCTGTTTTCTCCGTGTGTAGCGAGGCACTGCAACCTGGTGGATTTTGCTAAAAGCTGGAATGTCGCCTCCTCCTTAGGATTCTGTAGCTATTCAAAGGGAGCCCTGGTTGTGATACAACGTTGTCACACCCTGCACTTTATTTTGTACTGCTGAGCGTTTATCGGTTTATCTCCTGTATATGGCAAAATCAGATTGCCTTGGGATATCATTAAAACTGGATAAGCCAATGAGTTGGAAGAAGCATGATTTGAATTGCACCCTGAGGGTATTCTCTTTATGCTTGCTCATCATGAGTAAGACCTTTCTTCTCATATAAACAAATATAAATAGAGGTATACTGAGCTGCTTAAGGGAATTTTAACCGTGACAAACAGTTCCAAAATGCTGAGTTAATCTCCTTGCAATTCTCTGTTATTGGAACTTGGGTGGCCAAATAGTGCAAAATCACGTTAAAATAACTCAGCAGACTAAAACTCAGTTGAGAGGGGATGCACCTCAGGCAACCCAAATACATATCACTGAAGAAGTAGCATTCAAAGAATAACAACTAGTAAATCTGAACTTCTGCCATCCAAGCATTGCCAGCGCTCATTAAAGGTAAGGAAAGCCTCCGCCACAGTACGGCCTACTGTGAAAATTATATTTTCCAGTTTCGTGCCTGGCACTCCTATCGCTTGAGAATCAGAGCTCACTGGGTGAGAAAATGGAGTTGCCACTTTGATGACGTGCCATAGAGGAAGCAGAAAAAGGGCTGATGACGTGTTTCTGAGAAATGGGAAGAATAAAGGAGAAGGCACAGAAGCGTTTCAAACTAGAGCTGTTTTGAGTCTCGCTACCTATTTCTGTGTTGATGCTGCAGCCCCAGGCTCACCACTGTGGGTGGGAGAACAGCACAAATGCTGTTGTGCTTTGGCCACAAAATTAGAAGTGCACAGAGCAGACTCTGCATAAACTGGGTCTTATCAAAATCATTTTGCTATTTAGTATTATTTTACAGAGGGGGCTTATGTGATAGCTTAAATCTTGAGCCTGGGAAGGGTAAATCAAGACAATGGAAATGCCAGATCTGGGCTGCAAATATGTCATGTGTAGACTTGATAAAAGGTGACAAAGTGTCTAAAACTGTGAGACTGTAAAGTATAGTGAGTAATTTTTTGAAAAAAGGCAAGACGTGCAGCATTTTACAAACGTGATGAAATTCACGCTTCATAAAGCTCTCAAAGTCAAAAGAGATGGCAATGCAGCTGATTTCTTAGGTGGCGATCAAACTTGAATGGTTGATATGTTAAAAGCCTTCATGTGTCTGAGCTGTGACAAGTTTGAACTGTATTTGATTTGAAGTTTCACAAATACAAAGGGCTGATCTCACCTACGAGTGCAAAGAGCAGATCTAAACTGCAAATACAATCAGATTCCTAAACTAACAACCTTCTGCTCATTAAATTTGTGGTGACTGAATTACATATTGGTGAAAATTAGAATTCAATTAATAGACAACTTTTAAAATCCTAGGTTCCTGCAATTGTTATTTAAATGTATTTTAGCTGTACCAGATAAATTCTATGAGGTGCGGGGAGAAAAAAGAGTTTTGCTTCTGGTCTGCTCAATAGCTCTATTAATCCCTCCTATGAACTATTCTTACATACTTTTGAAAATCTGCATCCATGTCAGTTTAATTAGTATTTTTTGTTAAGCATACACTCTGTTCAAAGAAAGGTTATGCTGTGAATTTTGGCATGTTTGTAGGGATAGCCTCAGTAGTGCAAGATGATTTACCCCTTTCTGTGAATAATTCACAAACATTCCCCAAGTCATTACATTTTTAAAAAAACTCATTGATGCAGCATGTTGGTTTTGTTTATTAAACCTTGGCAATATTGTTATTTTTGTTTAAACACAGCTCGTGTTTTAACATATATTTTTAAACGGTTTTATTTGAAAAGAAACAAAGGTTCTTCTGAGAAGATCTTTCAGGCCATGAACTCTTTGGAAACCTTTCTTCACTTGAGGAGAAGTGGAGTAGTTTCCAGTTTGGCCTTTAAAACGTGTACCTCTAGAGAAGCTATGTATCTGTGATGTGCGAGGATATGTCATACGCACAACACTGGTGTATGTCTCTCTATTCCTCTGACCACTCTTAGTTCCAATTACGTAGTGTGCAACTCGCAGAGAAAACCCTCTGCTCATTTGCCTGTTTCGAGTGGATTTTTTAGAACTTTTAGAGATGCCAGTTAATGGTGGGCTCCCTGGGAAAGGGCTGTACCCAGCAGGGGATGCAAGGGACCAGCAAAGCGCATCTAGGCTGCAGCAGCATCCTGGGATCCCCCGCCGAGGCAGGGAAAGGGGGCACGCACAGCGAAAACTCGAAGGTTAATAGTAGTCAGAAAAGCAGCGTGCTGACGGCGGGGGCACACGAGAGTGACAGCAAGAGGTTACGAGGTGCCAGCCTGTGAGGAGGAGCTGCGGGGCCACGTGAGAGGAATGGCTATGGAGCACAGTGCGTAGGGACCTGATGTGGAAACGCACGTTTCACACGCTGGATTGCTCAGGTGGACGGACACAAACCTGTCTTCTGGCCTTGCCACACGCCTGGGCTATGCTGACTGACCTGGAATTCGTTAATATTTGTGGGAACCAGAGAGAGCTGGGGTCAAGAACCTGTTTGCAGTAAACACCTGGAGCTTTCTCTTCTAACCTCGCAATATCAAATGGGTATCGCTAGGTGCCTGGAGGGGACTGTAGGGACTGCCTGAAGATTATGACCCATAATCACAGTTGTTACTGCAAATAAATCATATTACTTGTTGTCCTTTTTGCTTTCCTGCAGATTCCTAGATGGCTGATGGATCGAGGCCCTGCCCATGTGGGGTCGGAGACAGGTTTGACTACGAGACCTGTGGGCAGGAAGCACAAGTCGAGCACGTCAGGGCGTATGTTTGCAAACCGGCTGCCAGCACAGACAAAGCTGTGATTGTGATTCATGATATATTTGGGTGGCAACTCCCAAACACCAGATACATGGCTGATATGCTTGCAGCTAATGGATTGTCGTGGTTTGAGCCTGGTCGGCAGCCAAACACCACGCAGCCACTCACCCACCCCCCCCCCCCACCCCCCAATGTAGACACCTAAAAAATCTTTTCTTCTCCAAGAAATCCCACTCTCTATGATTTCTAGCCTTACATTAGAACTGTTATTCCCATACACGAGAGGAAACTGTTACCAGGGCAGTTTGAGTGATATATTTCCATAATACAAAAACACAAAGGAACACTGCTGTGAAACGTGAAACTCCTTCGTACTTTGCTATTTACAGAAGTGACTGTGCACACAGAATGCATAGAATATTGGAAACGCGATGCAGTAGAAAGTGATTCTGTTAATTTTCCCATCAATATGAGATGGCTTTAAAAAATAGTGTGTTCCGAAACAGAAGCGTGTATCCTGGTTTTATAAGTCTTTTTAAAATAAACAGTCATTCAAGCTCAATTATATGATGGGATTTTAAAAAATTGTCATCAGCAGAAGTATGAATGAATGTCATATATTTTGAATATGAAATTGAATATGCACATTGAATATGTGCATATGAATCATTCATATGCACGCATCGGCTATTAAATACAATCCCTTTCTCCTCTGCAAGTCTTTCACTCTCATTTTTGGTGCCCTACAGCAGTTAAATTTCAAAATGCAGCAACATCTTGCAACAACGGGATGTGATTTAAGGTACTCTGTTTGCAGTATGCATTGCAAACATTCATCTAGGATTGGCACCGGCCTGCAGTTCCGAACAGCAAAGTTTCACCTAATTCTGTAGTGGTCTAGTTTTGAGAGTGTTGTGGTTTCGGCCTGGTTGACAGCCAACCACAATGCAGCAGCTCTCTCTCCCTTCCCCTCCAGCAATGAGAAGGGACAGAGAGCCAGGCTTGGGGTTCAAGATAGGACTGGGATGGGGGAAAAATCCCCCTTTTATGATCATGAGCAAAAGGCAGACTCGTTAGGGGAAGAAAAAAAAGAACATACATTTATTACAGACACTAACAACACATAACAGAGTAGGACAGTGAGAAGCATTGCCACATCTTGAGAACACCTTCCCCCCACCCCTCCCTTCTTCCCGGGCTCAGCTCTGCTCCCGATATCTCTACCTCCTCCCCCAGTGGCGCAGGGGCAGGGAATGGGGGGTGCAGTCAGTGCTGCCACTTCCTTCATCTTCGGTGAGGGGAGTGTCCGGAATTTGTTCCTCCTGCTCCATCGTGGTCCCCCTCTCACAGCAGACAGTCCTCCACAAACTTTCTCCGACATGAGTCCCTCCCACGGGCCGCAGCGTTCCCCACACTGCTCCGTCATGGGTCACTAACTTCCTCCGACTGGATTCCCTCCCACGGCTGCAGCCCTTCCCGAGCTGCCCCGGCGTGGGACTCCCCCGCATGCTGCAATCCTCCCAGCACTGAATTACAGCAGCGGGGCTGCCTTTTCCCATGAGACCCTGGCCTTCTTCGGGCACAGAACCTTGATAACCAAGCAGGAGCAACAGGCCATAAATCAGTGTCTGCTCCACCGTAGCTCTCCATGGGTGGCAGGGGGGGCCGCCCTGCCATCTCCCCACAGGATACAGGGGGGTCTCTGCTCCGGCACACCTCCCCCCTCCTCCCTTCCTCCGTTCCCCCACTGACCTTGGTGTTCACGCAGCTGCCCCAACTCCCCCTCACCAGTCCCACTGCTCCTCACCACGTCCCTTCTTAAATACGTTCTGGCAGAGGCGCAGCTGATGGGCTCAGTTTTGGTGCAGAGGTGGAGCTGACGTGGAGCTGGGGGAGCTTCGAGAAGCTTCTCCCAGGGGGCCGCCCCGATAGCCCCCTCCCCTGCCACCAAAAAAGTCCACCACTCACTCAACCCAGGACAGAGAGATGGTGCCTTTAACGCTCTCGGCCTGCGGAGCCTGAGGGAAGGCAGATGTCAGCAGACAGTTGTCGTGTGCCCGAGATCTGTCTGCGGAGCCGAAAGGAGCTTTTTGTTTCTGCAAGATAAAGATACCGCCTTTGTGAGGATTGGGGTCTTCTGATACACCGGAACGCTGCATTGGTCTATAGCCTGTTTCTTGTTACTGTTTTTCCTGAGGACTTCACATACCCTGTTCTGCACCAGGACTGGAAGGATGTTTGTCTGGTGACCACGTGCAATCATTCTCAACGTGAGACTGGCCGTACACCTCTCATACAGCGCAGGATACCGGCAAATCGCTAGCACGGCAGTGGGCTTCCTTATTACACCAAGAGCCTCCTCAGTCAAAAGTACCCAGTGTCATGAACTGGTATTTCTCCACACCGCCTCACTTCCTGTAATTTTGCCCTGTGATTCATGCCATGTCATGCTTCTTTTTGTAATACTTTCTCTCCTTCCACCTGCACTGCTGATGCCGCGGCGGTCAAGGGAAGCAGGGTGGTGTTTCCGTTGCTTTAGTCCGGAGGGGAGCGGGGGGTTTTCAGGCAGCAGTGTCCGAACGGAGAGAAACCGTGCATGTCTTCCCCGATTGCTTCAAGATGCTGCTGAACTGGTGCCCCAACGTTTATTGAGAGGAAAATAGCTGGATTTTCCCTAGTACAATATGGGACGAGGAGCTAGGAGAGCTGTATTTCAGAGACCGCATTAAGACTGATGGCTTGTAGCGTCTTACCAGGCTTGAGCAGGGAAGAACCTGTTTCTCTGCGTGGGCTGGGAAGGTTCACTCTCAAAGCAATATGTAGCCTTTCTGACAGGGACTTACCCAAAGGCTGTGCCATTTTGCCCATACATTTCCAAACACAAACATGCTGTAGACGTCACTGTTTCTTTCACAGAAATGATCAAACATGGTAAAAAAAATAAAAAAAAATAAAAATGCTTGCAACATACTTTGGTCTGCTGTAGGCCAAACTCATCTAGTCATTTCACCATGATCGTTAAGACACGTAGGGCGTGTCAGAGGAGGGAGAGTGCCAATAGGCGTTTAATAAGTACCGGGTGATTGCAGGTTCCCAGGGATCCTGTTGCTTCCCCGTAGGCTGGGCTGGAGATAAGGCACAGCAGCACCTGGGGGTGACCTAGGGAGGAGCCTGGGCCTCTGGAGTCCCTGGTGGTTTCCTTCTTGCCCGGGCAGACGGCGTTACCCACTAGTGACGGCACCGGCACGACCCTGCTGCCGGCCACACAACCCGTTTCAGCTGCGATCCCCCCGAGCCAGGGTTTGGGCACCCCCCGTGGTGCTGGATCTCTGCTGCTGAGTGGACTCTCCCCGGATTTCCCTTCTTCCAGTCACCAAATGGTGTTCGCAGTGAAACACTCCTCCCTTTCTTCCCACGCCTTTTCCCGTGACTTGTTCTTTGCTGACCTCGGCCCATCGGGTGCCTGGTTTTTTTTTTTTTTCTAGCTCATAAGTAAGACTCATGATGAGATCCGTAGTAAATAACTATTTTATGTAATTGTGTTTAAATCGAACCCACTAATGATGGATTTATGTTAAATGGTATTACGTTGTATGCAAAATCTAAAATTGTTGTAATCAGAACCTCGTTTGATTGTCTTTTACAAGGTGATCTGTTTTACTGTGTATAGTTTCAAATTATGTACTCAAAACAGGTAAAATACTAGGGGTAAAAATATTTAGATTTTACAGATTTGTATCACAAATTGTATTATGTGGTTTAGTCATTGAAAAGGGCCTATATAGATACCCATGTATGTTTTCTACATCTCATAGTTATTTCTGTAGAATAGTTAACGGGGATGTGTGAAACCATTACTTTCTCAAGAAAAAGAAATCAAAATAAGTCTATGCCTGGATTGAAACTTTCCTTGCTATGAAGGGCCAAAAAAATCTGTGTTTAATTAATTAATTCAATTTCGATTTTTTTTTTTTATGTGTGTATCTGTGTGTGCAGAGTCATCTGCCCAGACTTTTTTGCAGGACGAGAAGCTTGGAAGCTTTCCGATGATTGGTCCAAGTTTGATGATTTCCTGGAAACTCGAGATGCCTGGAAAATAAACAAGTAAGATGTCAGGGAGCTGGATATCACACTGCTTTCTTTTTCCCCTCTCTTTTTTTTTTTTTTTTTTGTGCGGTTTTTTGGTTTGGTTTTTTGAGTGTGTTTTTTTGTTTTGTTTTGTTTTGTTTTTGTGTGTGTGTTTTTTTGTTTTGGTTTGGTTTGTTTTTTCGTGTGTGTTTTTTTGGTTTGGTTTGGTTTGTTTTTTTGTGTGTGTTTTTTTGTGTTTTTTTGTTTGTTTTTTTTGTGTGTGTTTTTTTGTTTTGGTTTTTTTTTGTGTGTGTGTTTTTTTGTGTTTTTTTGTTTGTTTTTTTGTGTGTGTTTTTTTGTTTTGTTTTGGGGTTTTTTTGTGTGTGTTTTTTTGTTTTGTTTTGGTTTGGTTTTTTGTGTGTGTTTTTTTGTTTTGTTTTGGTTTGTTTTGTGTGTGTGTGTGTTTTTTTGTTTTGTTTTGGTTTGGTTTTTTTGTGTGTGTGTGTTTTTTGTTTTGTTTTGTTTTTGTTTGTTTGCTTGTTTGTTTGTTTGTTTGAGATGGGATGCAGCTAATCCACCAGTGGCTTAGTGAAGAGTTTTGTCTTCTGATGTGGATAACACAGAGCTCTTGTTGCTTCCCCTGCCTCAGCAGGCACAGTTTATAAATGACCAGTGAGACGAGCAGTGAGAAAGCACAACCCTCACCTTGAGTCTCACCGAGTGGAGCGGACTGATAGTTTCAGAGGTTGTAGGGGAAGGGGAAAGGAGGTTTTGTGCGCGCTGTAGTACTTGCCCAGCGCGGTGTAACTGGCGCAGGGGGCCGGTGGCTGGGTTGTCTGCAGTCAGGGGACCGTGAGGGCCGGGGGCTCCGGGGACGTGGGGTTCTGGCAGCCAAGGGCAGTGCCCTGCCTTCCCCTCCCGTGGGCAGCGCTGCCCGCGCGTGTATCCGCGAAGGGCTGCCACTAGCAGAGGGGCCGTGCTGCCTCCGCAACACGGGAGGAACCTGTTGGCAAGACAATACTGAGAAGGGGTCAGACTAATTAGAGACCAAACTAATTACATTCCTGGGAGAGCAAATATCTTTCTCGGGCTGTTGGGAGAGGCCATGTTGAAGGTTACTTGGCTCGGGTATTCGGTGAGAAGGTTACGGGAGACATAACTGAATCGCTTCCAGAGAGCTCCTGTCCCAGAAGGGTCAGTTGTCGTGGAAACTTTTTAGTTTGGAATCTCTCCCCTCCCTGCTGCAACGGGAAGGAAGGCTTGGGCTCTGCCTGGCACTTCTTATGGGCCGTTTGTGTTTCGCGTGGCAGCTCCAGTGAAGAAGGAATTTTTTTGGCATTTAATTTGCTTCTCTGGGTGTTTGCGTGTTGGCAGAGAACGTGGTATTTGTGAGATTGATGCATTGTCGGCGTATATAGCTGGCGTGTCCCAGGGGGTGAGGAGCTGGGGCTGAAAATACAGTCTTGAGGTTATCTAAAAGACTTGACTGCTACCTCTCTCCCACCGATGCTTTCTCTTTACTGCCTCTGCGTGGTGACACCTGCTTCAGGGGTAAATGGGTGTTTTCAGAATACAGCATCTGGGCAAGGTATATTTCAAGCTACACTGAAAATTCTGAAAGCGTCTGCCATGTTTGGTATATCGACTTTCCTGTCGCAAATAGCTCAGACCTTAACTTATTGTCAGCATTTTGACTTTCTAATGAATAGTATTCTCTAAAAGTTTTTTATTGCTTCTTATATCTACATTGACAAAGCAAAAATTCATCCAGCTTCTCAGAGAATTTTAAGCTTTTCAAACCCTTAGTAGGTGTATAATCAATAATCTACTTTCCATCCCTGTAGGTTTCCTTATGTACGTTATTCACGTTGCATTTTTGTCTAATTCCATTAAGGTTTTGTGTTGTTTATTTTTTTCTCTTTCTGATGATTTCAAATTAGTAAACCCTAATATTTGTCTGAAATAATGATTTATTTAAAGTACGTGAAAGAATATATAGGGGGGACACCTCCATGCATCTCTATATTTTCATATTTTCAAATAGTGGTTTTACTATGGGTGCTTAATTTGCATTTGCTTATATGTTCCAGAGAAGCTGATGCTGTCCTGAAATACCTAAAGGAACAGTGTGGTGCCAAGAAATTAGGGTTCGCTGGTTTTTGCTGGGGTGGTATTGCTGTACATCACCTGATGATGACATACCTGGAATTAAAGGCTGGTGTATCTCTCTATGGTAGGTAAACACAGGGTTGTAAGACAGGCAGGTACACATGCATATGTACACTGTGTAGCTTAAGTACTTGATCTAGCATTATTTTTTCAAGTTGTCAGCTGATGAAGAGAGATATTTTTAAAAGAGTAGGAAGGCTATTATGCCAAGAAGACGGTAGTGAGGATATTTGGTCCTAGTTCCTGAATGGATCATAGCAGCCATATCTTTATTTTAGGTCTGGACAGACATACACGTCCTTTGGTCACCTTCCCAATTTAGCTCCCTTTTCCTATTGCTGCTGCTCTGCATGCTGCAGAGCTAGAGCTTCAGCGGGGAGCAGCGCGTGTGATTTTTGCTCTAGCTACTCTGTAAAGTTAGATTGCGGTTATTTTAACACCAGCTTTCTTTTTATGCTCTGCTCAAGAAGCTGGGATAGCTAAGCTGCCCTTTGCTAACGTTCTCAGAATGTAAATTTTGGACTACTTACTGACTCATTAACTTGCCCAGTCAGTGCAAAAGAACTCCAGTTTGTATGCACAGAAGGCATCTTTCAGCTCCTGCTAATTCAGGTATTCAGTTTGTATCCTAAGAAACTGGATTAAATAGAGGTTGAATGTAGGAAGGTACTCACTCTTCCACAAGCCATGGTTACAGTAGCTTGAAAGTAAATCTAGTATGTGTGGCTTCATATTGCATGAGACAGGAAAACTTTTCACTGCAGAAGCAGAGTGCTGAATTCGAATGTGGATTTCACCTTAAAAGTCCATTGAGGAGGTTTTTTGTTTGTTTAATGTTTTCTAGGACTAATCAAAGGATTCTGATGATATATCCAATCCCCTGAACCCTATATTTTTCATTTTTGCTGAAAAAGATGACTTCATTCCCCTTCATCATGTATGCTAAAACCCTCTGTCTTCTTTCACTTCTGCATGTTTAAATTTCCATCCTGAACTGGGAGTCAAAATTCAGTCTCACAATAGCGCTCGAGGGTCAAAAAATAAGCAGAAAAATTGAGCTAGATATAAAAGGGCTAATGTAACTTGGCAAAAAATTAAAACTAGAATTTTTTTTTTTTTCCTTACATCTCTTTTGTATGTCTAGTAACTCGGGTACCAAAGTCTTATCAAAATGCCATTGCTGTTTTGGAGTACCCTGCTCAGGGAGCTATCCTCTGCTGTATGACACTGTTTTCTATAGGCCCTAGGAACCCATAAGCCATGTAGGATATGCCAAATTGCATCCATAGGTGTCAGTTAGAAGCTTTTTGTTTGGTTGTAGTGTATTTAGCATTGTCTTATATTTCATGTATAGGAAATACTTTTGTTAGATCCATATCTTTGCAGATTGTTGGACCTGCCTTTATATTCTAAAAATTTCCTAGACCCTCACTGCAAAGGGATTTTTTTCTTTGCACCATTTTGCTTTTTGTTTTGCCCATATGGAGCTAGCCTGAGTGATAAATTGGGGAGTTAAATTATGAATAAGGTGAGGAGTTGCAGCATGGAGTATGGCTATATTAATATAACTACTACCATGCTTTATATTACAGGTCACCCTGCCGGAGCAGAAGCTAAAGAAAAATTATAAAGTTGCTTATGAAGTTAAAATTTATCCTGGGCAAACTCATGGTTTTGTACATCGCAGAAGAGAAGATATCAATCCTCAAGAAAAGCCTTATATTGAGGAAGGAAGAAAGGATATGTTCAACTGGCTGAATAAGAACATATAACAGAAGAGCAACTTAATTTGTAAGGCAATTATGTAGTACATTGTGGGGATTTTCAATATCACATTTTAGAAAATTTGGGGGAGAGTTTGTTGAAATAGAAATTAAAGAAATAATCTAACAGAATATTTGAGATGTTCTTGTCAGTAGATTCTAATTGATGCTCTCATATTATGTTCCTTTGAAGAAGTCTCAAATTTCACCTAGCAGTGTCGTGCTTTAACATGCTGTGAAATATTCTCCAGTTCCTCGAGATTTATCTTAATGCTCGAAATAAGTTAGACTAATGGTAAATTAATCCTTTTGTGTATTATAGCCACTGGTCATCTAAATTCTACATAAGTCACAAGCCCAAAATTTAGGGACACAAGTACATTGTTTGGCAAAGCTCATTTTGAGAGAACAGGCCTTTTTGGCTGCATCCTGGCAGCAGATGTGCATTTAACAGGTGATGTAAGCGGGCATATCTTGTTTCAAAATTTGTAGCTAAGGTTATTTGGATGGGATACTAATTTCTCAGGTTACCTTTGGCTCTGCGAAATTCGATAGATGGTTTCCTGGTCGGCCCCCCTCTGCCACCCATGGAGATCTACGGTGGAGCAGACACTGATTTATGGCCTGTTGTTCCTGCTCAGCTGATCAAGGTTCTGTGCCCGAAGAAGGCCGGGGTTTCATGGGAAAAGGCAACCCCGCTGCTGTAATTCAGCGCTGGGAGGATTGCAGCATGTGGGGGAGTCCCACGCCGGAGCAGCTCGGGAAGGGCTGCAGCCGTGGGAGGGAATCCAGTCGGAGGAAGTTAGTGACCCATGACGGAGCAGTGTGGGGAACACTGCGGCCCGTGGGAGGGACTCATGTTGGAGAAAGTTTGTGGAGGACTGTCTGCTGTGAGAGGGGGACCACGATGGAGCAGGAGGAACAAGTTCCGGACACTCCCCTCACCGAAGATGAAGGAAGTGGCAGCACTGCCTGCACCCCCCATTCCCTGCCCCTGTGCCCCTGGGGGAGGAGGTAGAGATATCGGGAGCAGAGCTGAGCCCGGGAAGAAGGGAGGGGTGGGGGGAAGGTGTTCTCAAGGTGTGGCAATGCTTCTCACTGTCCTACTCTGTTATGTGTTGTTAGTGTCTGTAATAAGTGTATGTTCTTTTTTTTCTTCCCCTAACGAGCCTGCCTTTTGCTCGTGATCATAAAGGGGGATTTTCCCCCATCCCAGTCCTATCTCGGACCCCAAGCCTGGCTCTCTGTCCCTTCTCATTGCCGGAGGGGGAGGGAGAGGGAGCTGCTGCGTTGGGGGTTGGCTGCCAACCAGACCCAAACCACGACAGGCTCACAAACCGTGGCTGCTGCTTAAAGAAGAAATGTCTGATGGTGGTGCCTGACGTGTCCTGTTACGCGATTTCTCCCTGGGTGGTCGGGCGGACGCCCCCACGGTGCCTGCCCCAGCGCCCGGCCGCCGGCGGGGGCTGCGCGGGGAATTCCCCCTCTCACTCCGCATCCCGGCAGCCAGCCGTTCGTTCGGGGGGTTCCGCAGCCGGAGGGGCCACCGGAGCAGCGAGTGGGGTGGCCACGGGCGGGCCTGGCCTGACCTCTGTGCGTTCCCCAGTCCCTTTTTGAACCGGCTGGAAACGCTGACCACTGGTGTGATTTCCGCAGCTTAATTACGCCCTTAATTAAGGGCTCGTGTTCCTTAGTTCGAAAGCAGCTGCCTGGTGTCTTCAGTGGGTGCTGGCGCTTCTAAAGTTGTCAGGAAAAAAAAAATAAATAATGTACGTCCCTTTTCACCGTCTCAGGGCTACAGATAAAGACTGCTGTGTGAGTTAATAGGGAGAAAATGTAATTTAGGAAAGTCTTAATTTTACTCGTGACAATCTCTCAAATTAAATAGACTATCAGAAAATATACACTGTGGTGTCTCTCATGTAAAAAACATCAGCAGTATTAATTAATCACCCCTCTCTCTCTCTACGGGATTTTAGTTTCTTTTGGTGTTTCCCATCCATGATTTCCTCCTTTCCATGCTGCTAACGGTGCCCCATCTTTCCCGTGGGGAGACTTCAGAGAATTTTGCCCTGCGACTGCCGATCAGCTGTTGCTTTTCGTACGATACCATCTAGATGTAATATATTAATCCTGACGTTGCCTGGGTGATACAGCTCTCGTGACACATCTTTGCAGGAGAAGAATGTAGAGGGCTGGAAGTTTATTGTACCTTAATTACCCCAGCATAAACCCTGGGTAACTCCACATTAGTGGAGTTGCATTAGCATCAGAAGGTTAGCTAACGTGCAAGAGGACTATCAGGTCATATATTTAGAGAAGAGCAGTCATTCATAAATACTGAAACGGTATGTGTGCCGCAACACCGACACCGTGACTAAGCAAAAAGAAAAAAACCTGAGAAGCAGCATTTGCTCAAAGTGAAAGGGTAGCTACGAGTTCTGACGAGCACACCACATCTCCCTGATAAAACTGTAAGTCACTGAGTAAGAGCTGGAAATGAGAGATCCCGAAGAAGTGTGTGTTTATAGTTCAAGGTGCAATGACTGCACGTGCAGAGATCATGAATGTGTTGAATGAAGCTTTGGCTTCTCAGTAAAAAAAAACTGCATGGAGCGATTGTCAAGGAACGTGAAAAAACAGGAAATAAAATGAAAAACCATTTAGTTTCTAAAGTTTAATGTTAATATTAAGGTAAAGGGGAATAGTCTTATGTATAAGGAAGAATTTCCAGAGCTACGTTACTGTGACTAAGGAAATGGAAATGTGCTTAAGCAACTGCAGTGGAGAGGAGATTCTGCAAGCACTGCTGTCCTTTCTCTCTTCCAGGAATGATTTAAACTGCCAATTTTTTCCTCACATTTATTTTACTGTTATTCTTTGGAGTTGCTATGGAGTATCTAAGCTCCCTGTGTACTACAATTTGTTGTTTGTACTATACAAGTGGGAAAAGACAAAAAAACAAACCAAACAAAAAGGTTTTTGAACTTTATGACTTCACTCTGGAATTCTTTGGTAGGCTTTTTTTTTTTTTTTTTTTTTCATTCGTTTGACTTTATTTTAGGAAACGCTAATAAATAGCATGGACAAAGTTATTTAGAATATGGGAAAACAGCTTATATATGAGGACTAAATTGGAAGGCTGGTCACTTTCCCAAGGCAAAAGTGTGGTAGACCAACATGTGCATTTAGTGCTACTTTTTAGATGTGGTTCAGAGGAAACAGTGAATTTGGGATTGCTGATATTCTTAAATAAACATTTTTAAAGAATACTACTACTAATCCAATAAAAACAAAATCCGGAGGATGGGAGGGATACAAGGATCAGGCAATCACTTTAATTCAAAAGGAAAAAAACCCAGTATGAAATGTCCTGTGGTAGGATAAAAACGTACCAGCATTTTAAACACTTATTGTAATGATATGTATGGCAATCTACAAAACGCTTACCTTTTTACATGTTAGTTATTTTAACTCTGAAAGAGAAGATATTTTTTCCTATACTGTATAAGCTTTGTCTTGTATAGAGCTTTGAAATAATCTCTGCTTCACTACCTCACCCCGCTGATGACTTTAGATATTTCTTTTACCAATGGATGAATAGTCGAAGGACGTAACAGTAATGCCAGCGTGAGGTTTAAAAGTGATACTGGCCCAATCTTTAAAAACAAAGGAACAGCCTTTAAAAAAAAAAACAAAACAAAACAAAAAAATTTTGTCTAAATGAATTGCTCAGCTAAGTCAACGTGTTTCCTAAGCTACAAGACAAGACCTCCAAAGCTTAATACCATTTTGTGTAAGTTAAAAAGAAGTTTTGGTATTTGCCTGTAGTGGTACTCCTCACAACCCTGCCTACACTGGCAGTAAAATTAATGGCTGTAAAAGGAGTAAACGTTTAACTTTGTGACTCTGTGTTATGCAAGTACTTACAAGGCAGTAACTTACATAACTTTTATTTGAAGAAACCCGATCCCCCCCCTTTCTGAGCGTTACTAACTGCCTGGTGACTGCCCCCACCGAGCTCGCCCTTGCCTCGGCCGGCTCTTCCGCTCCTTCTCCTACACCCAGGTATGCGTGGGGTCTGGTTTTTTTAAAAACTTTCACGACATTTCCTCCTGAGGAATGTAAAATAAGTGCATGCTGAGGGCTGACTCAGCAACTTTCATTTTATCGATGTGTTTTCTTAAAGAGTGCATGCTCATTTAAATGATATGGAGGGCTATTTTTTTTTTTTTTTCCCCCCTAGTTATTTAAGATGATGGCTCAGAAACCTTTTATTTTCCCCCCTGAGGTGAGGAAGAAGTCTCAGGAGGAGGGCTCAGGAGAGGCTGTTGAAAGTCACAGAGCCACACAGCAGTATCTTTATATTTTTCTGCTTGTAGGTTCCAGTTTCTGAAAACTAAAGTTGTTGTTTGGTCTTCAAATAAATGCTCGAGTGCTCGCAGGTGGAGATGGTGGAACACCAGGGCTGTGAGCTTACAGATCCTCCTAAAAGAATAGCTTTGATGGATATAAGAGAGGAGGATTCATTTTTAAGGATTGTTTCAGGAGCTTCTTAAAAATAGAAAAAGATACTGTTCGTATGTAATGCATACTATGGCAAATGTGGAAACACTGAAACATTTTGACTACGCTGCAAAGCTTTCAAGTCTGTATGGTTTTTAAACCACACAAGCCAGGGCTACCCCTCGCCTAGAGCTCTTTTCCTCAGCTTTGCATTTACATGTTGCTTCACATTTTATCAGATAATGTGAAATGTTTGCAATTAAAGCCTTTAAGGACATACTGACTGGTAGGGGCTTCGTGTTTCTGGAGCTCTTAAATATGTTTCTTTAATAGGCAGTTGCTCTTCTTGTTACATTGTTTTATTTTAGTCTAAGCAAAATGAAATAGTTTGTGAATGGGAAATTAGTTAACAGCTCTTTCTTATTGCATATTTAAACTGTGTTTTGCCCTATATGCTCATCTATTCATTCATTTTTTTTTTTTTTCCTGGTAGGTTTATTTTAAATTAGAAGTCTTATATGTGAGACTACAACATGTGAAAAGAAATCACCTATGGGTGGATGTGGCTTATTTAGAAAAAAAGGAAAGGATTAGTATAAATGTGTGCCCAGAGTTAATACAGCTTTCAAATAAGACACAGCTTGTCTTGATTTATGAAAATTAAATCTCACAGGATCTGCAACCCTAGCCCTGCTAACACTGCTTGGCATATTCTGAATTTTAAAGTCTGCAAATCCAGAACATCGTGGTGCCTGGAAATCTGTGCAAATCTCCTAGCTGTAGGGTTGTGTATTTGTTTGCTTTCCTAAAGCTGTCCCTTTAGTGCCACAACTATTTAAGTCCCACAAGTTCGGGGACTGTTCAGTAACCTGCTTTTTCCCATTTCTCTCTGTGAGTATATTTGGCAAAGTCGAGTTTGAACATCCCTGTTTCTGTACAGGCAAAAGTTTCTTAGCTAGTACACACAGTTTATCTGTAGATAGTTTAAGTAAAGCTTTATCTGAATTCTCTCCACGTTCTTTAATAATTTGGAGATGTTCTGTATATATTCAAATAAGTTATTTGGGTCATTTTGTAGCAA